AATAATAATAATAATAATAATAATAATAATAATAATAATAATAATAATACGCAACACTCTTCGTTCTCTCCCTTTTCTTTTGAAAAATAACATTAACCATGGGAAAATAAAAACCTTCACACCAACATTCTTGACCAGAACAAAAAAAAGAAAAAAAAAAACATACAAAAAAAGGTATCCTAACCTTTTGTTTCACCAAAACCGGCAGGGAAGGTCTTTGGAGAATCGGCGCCTAAAGAAATACGAATAAAAAAAAAAAATTATCGGGACCGCCACCCCGCCGGATCGGAAAAAAGAAAACCAGGGACTCCCCGGGGCGGGGCGCTGGAAGCAGCCGGCTCGGGTCCGAACGCCATCCCGCAACCCGACGGCCCGCCTTTTTTTTTTTTTTTTTTGTGCCGCGGGCGGGGCCCGGGCGCCCCGGTTTTTTTTTCTTTTCGCGAGCCGTTTGCCTCCCCCGCGGTGGGGCCCGGTGGGCTGCGGCGGCCGTTGCGTTTTTTTTTTCTTTGGCGGGGGCGGCGCCCACCCTTTCCCCGGGAAGTTGGGGCGGAGGTGTGGGAGGTAGGGTCGCGGAATAATAATAATAATAATAATAATAATAATAATACTATTATTATTATCATTACTACCATTATATTATTTTTTTTTTTTTTTTTTTTTTTTTTGAGGAGGTGGCCGTGATCGTTTTGAGATCGGTTTGCAATTATTCAGATTTATTTATTTTATTTGTTTTTTTTAATTCTATAATTCTATTAATTAATTTGTCTACTTTATTTTTTTTTCTTTTGACATTTATGTCCTACCTTACGTATTTTGAATTTTTTTTTTTTCCTTATCAAGCCTTTTATTATTTTCCAGAGCAATGTCTGACGACGAGGGACACTTCGCACCTCAGGGTGGTGAGCACACCGGATCCCTGACCTATCCTATGCAGGCCGGAGCCCTTAAGAAGGGAGGTTATATTTGTATCAACGGACGTCCATGCAAGGTAATCGACCTTTCTGTGTCGAAAACAGGTAAACATGGACATGCTAAGGTCAGTATTGTTGCCACTGATATTTTCACTGGCAATAAGATGGAAGATCAGGCTCCCAGTACTCATAATGTTGAGGTTCCGTTCGTGAAGACTGCAACTTACAGCATTCTGGATATTCAGGAGGACCGTGAGGACCCCAGCAAGCCAGCGCACCTTTCCCTTATGGATGATGAAGGTGAGACTCGTGACAACCTTGACATGCCCCCAAATGCCGAATTGGCGGCCCAAATCAAGGAGCAGTTTGAAGCAGGCAAAGATGTATTGGTCATTGTTGTTTCAGCTATGGGCATTGACCAAATTCTCAGTTTCAAAAATGCAGTTGAGCGATAAGGCATTAATTTTTTGTTTATGTTTTAAAAAGGTTTTTCTATTAAGATAAATTGTGTTTCGTCATGTTTTTTTTTTTTTTTTTTTTTTTTTTTTT